TAGAAGGCTGGCCTTGTAATCCTGGGGTCTCGGGTTCGATTCCCGGCGGTGCCCGAATTTATAACTTGTGTTGGGCAAGGCCGTGGTCTAGGCAACACGGAGTTTTCCTCCGTGGCATCCCAACAATTACTCCATTCACACACAGAAGAAGGCAATGGCAAACCACTTCTGGATCATCTGCCAAGAACGTATATGAACAGGTCCCAGTCCGAGAAAAGGATGGAAGGATCTTGTTCATATGGACCTGTCGTCACACAGAACACTACAAATAAAAAAAAAAAATTCCTTGAGACCAGGAACAGATTTTAGAAAGGTTAAAATGTTAAAAAAATGTTCCTTAGTTTGATAATGGGTGAGGGTTGTTCTTGAATATCGGAAGATCACAGAAGAACGATTTCAAGACCAAAGATATTTGATTCAAAGGGGAGACTGCAGAATCAAAGGCCAAATTGCTCTCGGTTCGAGTCCCGATGAAGATCATTAATGTATAACTCGGTAACTAAGTACGATTTAAAAGCGGTGTAAAGAACAAATTCACTATTATACCAGACTCTAGAGCGTTTTCTCGTGATGAGGAGCCATTTTACTGTGAGTTGCACCCCTAGTGGCCATTTTTAGAGTTAATTCACTTCTCCGATAGCTACAAACATTTCTTTTGAAGTAACTTTAATATCTGTGAGCAGTCTATTTTTTTAAACAGACATCTGAAACCTCTCAAACTGTTTTCTCTCTGTAATGGACAAGTATTATTGCCAGTTTTTGTCTAATATCACACTAGTACTCCATGCAACGAAAGTCAACGTTAGAATCCAATCGAAAACAGGGCATTACACAAATGGCTACTGATTTAATCACACGATTACAACGTAATCTAGAAACACTTTTAATAAATCTCGTATAATTTTTTATGCAGTGCTATTATCAGCTTACTGGATTAACAGGTGCAGAAATCTTTCCTCCAAAGCGGATTGTCCAACGCAGATTCGGTTATACGCGACAAAAAAATTAGAAATGCCAAAAGCGATCTGTCAAACCCGCTGTAATAACACACGAAAAATCTCACCGCTGTTTCAAAAGCTAAGGAAATTTTAGCTTTTGCTTGTATATTTGTACAAGAAACTTTGTTTATTTTATTCAGCGTGTGTAAGAGTATAAATATTATTGTAAGTCGTTAACTTGTGTATTACTGATTTCTTTTTCGTATTTTACTGTTTATGATAAAAGTCCGAGACATGACTCTACCCTGAGGCAAACTAATACAGTCCACACTATTAATTTAAAACTTTAATATTATCCTTTCATATATTCAGATTAAACATGTAATTGTGTCTCACTACGTCAATAAATGCACCACATAACCCTCTGAAACCAAATATCATGTAAATAATAAATACAAATTAAGTCCGTACCGCAAAGAAAACAACACTTTTCTATTACAAAAAAAATGGTTATTGTTGTTGAAGGAAATAATAGCTGTTTATCGTGAGGATCATAAAAAATCCATAAATACATTATGTAGGTAAGTAAAATGTAGTGTTACTGATTGCTTAAGTGTGTGATATATGAGAATCATTTACGACTGGATTTTAATACCATAAAGACTTTAATCACTTCGAATGGGCGTTGAGTTATTCATGCGTCGTGATAACCATACAGTGATATAATGTGATTGTGATAATGTTATCAGTACCAGACCTTACAGCTGTCGTCTATAATACAGTTTATTTTGTATATTATATATAACTGACGGCTACCCGCCATTTAAAATTATAACTGTAACAGTTACAGTCGTAATTGTGGCTTGTTACAGTTTCATAGTTTCGAAAACAAAAAGACTTTCGATCTCAATTCAATTCAATGTCGCATTTGCTTCAGATGCTACAAAATTTCATCATCTATTCTTTAAAAAACTGGCGTGATTGTGGGATTTTATTGCCGGTGGATTGGTAGACCTGATTCTTACTAAATATCGCGGCCGAATGGACAGTCAGTACCATTGCTTTGTATTTATAAGCTCCTGGGTTAGATTTCATAGACCAGCTACCCTGAATGACGTTTATCGTTCCTTGCCGGTGGATTGGCAGACCTGATTCTTACTAAACATCGCGGTCGAATGGACAGTCGGTACCCTTGCTTTGTATTTATAAGTTCCTGGGTTATATTTCATAGATCAGCTACCCTGAATGACGTTTATCGTTCATTCACTAACGAAGAATTGATCACCGGCCATAATATTGTTAAGTTAAGCCTAGATTTATTTGTTAGAACAGTAACGATTAATATCGACTCGAATTCGATTCTCGATCCTGGGGCCAGCTATCGATACAAGGCTCTCTTCACATAACCTCCAAACAATGCATGACTGCTTCCTTTCGTATTCTTTAAATGAATAATTTTCTACTGTCCTCCATCTTTGCAATTCGTATCGTATACAATTCAGAAAGTATAAAATCGAGAAGGCGTATGAACAAAAAAACATTGGAATATTTGTTGCTGTAGAAAATAGCCTCAACCAAGGTGAACATTTACAATTCTGGCATGGTTACAACGTTGTCCACACTTAAGGCACGTGGAACATGCAAAGACCTAAATAAATTTGCAGTGTACAATGTTGGGAGGGGGGAAAAGGGTCTCGAAAAACAAACATCGAATGGCTGGGGAAAAAAAACAATTAAAGAGTACATTCTTAAGGCTTCTCAAGCAGACGAGACGGAAATAATTTAAAGGAAGAATTGAGTTTTGTACGGAAAAGGGAGATAAATCCACAGACGTATTTTACGTAGAATAAAAATTACTAGACTTATACCAATGTTCGTAAGTTAATTTTTAAAATCGTTACTTTTAAATAACATTTACAGATGTACTCTTTGACGTTGGTCGTTGTTGGATTAATATGATACTAGATTATTGTTACAGGACATTTAAATTATCCTAAAGTCAATGTCGCGCCTTGGATCCTATTGTCATGCAACAATGTGACCTCCGATAAATTCTACAGATATTTTTAAAGTGTACGTCGCTCGAGCTATACAGCGGAGAAACCGAATAATAGCAAAATATTACAAACACGTACATGTTAAAAATCAATAGTAATATAAAACACGCCTAACACTTCTACACGGCGATACACAAACTCAACTTAACATTAATTTTAAGTTTTTCTCTGCAACAATTTAACCCCACCGGGGAGACATTCCCCAAGTTTGCTGTTACAAAAGTTGGCAATCTTTATTGTAGACTTTCATTTATGTATCGACTCGCCTCGACCGTTAGTCTGCAGTGTGAAGGTCACAGGAAGTGAATGTTTCATATTGTCACTTATTTGTAACACTGAAGTATTTTTAAACCGACCAACTAACAGAGGAAAAGATAAATTCATAGCGTTTCCGTTATTTTACATGAATCCGAAGCTAAAACACACATACATAGAGTAAAGGGTTTGAAATAGATTAGAGGTGAAATAATTCAGCTAGCTTGCTTCTCGACCAATCGAATTTCGAGCCCTTGTTACGTGATCATAAACAACTTTCTCTCCAAGTTAAATGGCACTCAAACGACGTCCATTTATGACAAACCATAACCTTATCTACTTGCAGGATTATACAGAGTTATAACAGTCTAAAACATTCTACGAATTCCTGTGTTACAGTAGATAATTAATATTAATTATGAATATTAATTTGTAAATTAAGAACAATGTACGTTTCTATCTTTAATATATTTATGGAATAGGTAGACTTTTACTGGATTTTATATTTGATTTTTATCGTGTAAATAACACAAAATTATGTACTTATCCCCTTCTCAAAAAATCGTCAGTAAAGCGTATCACTCCGCTCTTAGTGACCTTGTGCTGATTTACTGCTGAAAGCTTCTTGGTGTGAAGCACGTGTCAAAGCAGTGCAAAGAAGTTTTCATACATTGATTTGTTTACGAACACACTTCGCGTTCTGAAAACTAAAATGTGTAACAAGTTGCTACCTAGACATTGGAAACCTCTGGTATAATGTAACTGGTTCCACTCCAAGAAAACAATACAAAATATCAGACATTTCACCCTAACTAACAAACCAAAGCTCTTCAAAGCAATAAAATCAAAAGAGAAGCTAATTGTTGAAAGTGATTCATCCTGGAAAGAAACTCCCTTCTTTATCTTTTAGTAGGCTGACGTAACGCATTGCACTATTTATAATAGCGAACTGGAGAATGCAGTGCCATCTGTTTACCAACAGAGTTACTACGTACCGAACATGTTGTTTACGTAGGTGCCGCCGCGACCAATCGATATGTTCCGGAACTTGTGCTAACTGATTCATTTTATCGAGATAAATTGAACATGTAATAACGTGGCGGTGTGTTTGCACATGTGTCTAGCCATCCAAATGTTTGGACATGAACGAAGGTCAAGATCCGGGATAGTTCACGCAGTCCAGTAACTGGACGAACGGGTTTCGAGGTTAAAAATGAGCGGAAGTTATCTGTTCTATCGCCCAAACAACTACATAGCGTGTAGCGGGGCATTATTGTAATATTAACACAACGTTGCCAGACGAATTTAGTTTGTTTGTATCGACCCAATACAGGAATTTATCGATTTTCTTAAAAAAAAAAAACTTATCGAAACATGCTGCACACGCTAGTAAGACTCTTAATAAACCTCAAGGTTGTTTCAACGATCATGTAGGAATTACACATTTTTAAATTAATCTAACCATATTATTGTCATCATTGAATTGAATTGAATAATATCCACCCTTTCTTCGTTTTTGGGAGATCCCACATTCAAATATTGGCTCTGAGGCCGGCTATCGTGACCGAGAATTTTCGTGGTTTTACTCACTATTGACAAACGTCCATGTAAATTAGGTGATAATAACTTCCATATCACTTTTAATTCATTAATCATCTTATTAATGGGCGCTGTACGTTGGGTTAGTAACAGCTTCCGTAAATAAACCACAATAAATAAATAATCATAGATTATTAACAATATACTAAACCTCGTTTAAGATGTGTTGACCGCTGTATGTTTCATCCTCCAGATGTCACGAACCGAATTTTGAGATGTGGGTAACATTTAAATCATGATCGGTGCAGCCATCTGACTAACAGCCAGGTGTATCGAATTACCAGTCAGCTTCGAGCTACAAACAGACCTCCAAGGTCATCCATAGCGGATACTGTCCGTATGAGCTTGTCTCTAGCCGAATTCACAAACATCTGCCTGTCTGTGTACTTGCTATTGAAACCCTGAGATCTACAACCCATGACTTCGCCTCCATTCTACGCTTCATACCATGATTTTAAAACAAAGATTTCTCCCCGAGTTCTTCGTTTCTTATCCTTCTTAACAATTACACAATACACAAACCACAACCCAAGTACACCGGTATAAACAGAAACACAACGTAGGCGTACAAGTTACGTCAGACGGGACAGTGCTACCAACAATAATGCGACTAATGCACCTCCCTGACAAAAATTAATTAACCTCCATTTTCTAAAAGAATCGTAACAAAGCGACTTTCTTACATATAACATTTTTATAATAATTTGCCAAATATCTCGAAAATAAAACTGATATAAGTAACATTTTGTTGACAGCGCAACCATCCAGGAAAAAAAAACACTCTGAAAGAAAATGTATGTACTTTAATACAGTTTCGTAATTCGATTAGCTTGAAATGAAATGTTCTCCGGAATTCTAAAACCTCTTCGCGTGGTGCTATGTGGCATGCATGTATGTCTCCCTCCCAATCTTTAACTTTACCTCTTCCCCTATTTTAATTTCAACGATTGGAATTTTCTTATATCTAGAGACATCACTGACTTACACGAATCTGTGAAAACTAAAAAGGATTAACGCGGCAAGAGACTCACACAAATCAAACTGACTTTTATATACGACAAGTTGAGTACACGGTAAGAAGGTTATTTGAGGTTACTCATCCATTCATATAGCCCTAAAGGGATTCTACTTTATTTAACGACGTTGTTTTAAATGCATAAGTAAAAATCATGTGTGATATTATTTTAGGGTACAGTCCTTGCATTCTCCTACAACTACA